CTGCTCTTACTGCTAGTGCTGGACTCGCTGCTGCCACTGCTACTGCCACTGCCGCTGCTCTTGCTGCTGGTGCGGAAATATCAGTTTTTTACTTTTTTCAGAGCTGCTGGCTGCTGCTAGCTTACTGCTAGCTGCTGTACTGCTGCCGCTGCTCTTACGGCGGCTGCTGGACTCACTGCTGCCGCTGCTACTGCCGCAGCCGCTGCTCTGGCTGCTGCTGCAGCTCCCGGCAGCAAAACACCATGGCCCTAAAGGATGAACCGAGTCCAAAATATACGTTTCCCGGGGCCGGAACGTCCCTTCTGAAATCCTACAAAAAGCTTGCTGCTGGTGCGGAAATTATCAGTTTTTTAAACATTTTTTTACCTTTTTAAGAGCTTCTGGCTGCTGCTAGCTTGCTGCTAGCTGCTGGACTCCCTGCTGCCGCTGCTACTGCCACGGCCGCTGCTCTGGCTGCTGCTGCAGCTCCCGGCAGCAAAACACCATGGCCCTAAAGGACGAACCGAATCCAAAATATACGTTTCCCGGGGCCGGAACGTCCCTTCTGAAATCCTGCAAAAAGTTTGCTGATGGTGCGGAAATTATCAGCTTTTTACATTTTTAAGAGCTAGCTGCTGCTAGCTGGCTGCTAGCTGCCACTGCCACGGCCGCTGCTCTGGCTGCTGCAGCTCCCGGCAGCAAAACACCATGGCCCTAAAGGACGAACCGAATCCAAAATATACGTTTCCCGGGGCCGGAACGTCCCTTCTGAAATCTTACAAAAAGCTTGCTGCTGGTACAGAAATAATCAGTTTCTTACATTTTTCAAGGCTTCTGGCTGCTGCTAGCTGGCTGCTAGCTGCTGCACTGCTGCCGCTGCTCTTACTGCTACTGCTGCTGCTGGACTCACAGCTGCCGCTGCCACTGCCACGGCCGCTGCTGCCGCTCCCGGCAGCAAAACACCATGGCCCTAAAGGACGAACCGAGTCCAAAATATACGTTTCCCGGGGCCGGAACGTCCCTTCTGAAATCCTACAAAAAGCTTGCTGCTGGTGCGGAAATATCAGTTTTTACTTGCTTTCCAAGCTCAGAAACGGCGCCTCCGCCACGCCCAAACAGCAGGGCCCTGAAGGACGGAAAAGCATCAAAATTGCGACCAAAAACTGCCTAATGTAACTTCTGAAACCCATAGAAAAGTGATGATTTTAGCTACTTTTTCCTCCTGCTGCTGCTGTAGCTAAAATTTCCTCCTGCTGCTGCTGCTGCTCCTGCTCTTGCTACTCCTTCTGTTCAAAAGATAGCTCCCGGATGGGAAAACACCATGGCAGTGAAGGACGGAAAAGCATCAAAATTGCGACCAAAAACTCCCTAATGTAACTTCTGAAACGGCCCCAACTGCCTAACGTTAGAAACGGCGCCTCCGCCACGCCCAAACAGCAGGGCCCTGAAGGACAGAAAAGCATCAAAACTGCGACCAAAAACTGCCTAATGTAACTTCTGAAACCCATAGAAAAGGATGATTTTAGCTACTTTTTCCTCCTGCTGCTGCTGTAGCTAAAATTTCCTCCTGCTGCTGCTGCTGCTCCTGCTCTTGCTACTCCTTCTGTTCAAAAGACAGCTCCCGGATGGGAAAACACCATGGCAGTGAAGGACGGAAAAGCATCAAAATTGCGACCAAAAACTCCCTAATGTAACTTCTGAAACCCATAGAAAAGGATTATTTTAGCTACTTTTTCCTCCTAAACAAAATTGCAACCAAAAACTCCCTAATGTAACTTCTGAAACCCATAGAAAAGGATTATTTTAGCTACTTTTTCCTCCTGCTGCTGCTGCTGCTCCTGCTCTTGCTACTCCTTCTGTTCAAAACCCATAGAAAAGGATGATTTTAGCTACTTTTTCCTCCTGCTGCTACTGCTGCTCCTGCTCTTGCTACTCCTTCTGTTCAAAAGACAGCCCCCGGATGGGAAAAATGTGTTTCCAAGCTCAGAAACGGCGCTTCCGCCACGCCCAACCAGCAGGGCCCTAAAGGGCGGACTGGGCCTGCCGGCAACGGCCCCAACGGCCTAACGTTGCTTTCTGAACCTACAAGAAAAGTAGCCGTCTTCGAGCTTTCCAAGCTCAGAAACGGCGCCTCCGCCACGCCCAAACAGCAGGGCCCTGAAGGACGGACCGGGCCTGCCGACAACGGCCCCAACTGCCTAACGTTGCTTTCTGAAACTACACGAAAAGTAGCCATCTTCTATAGCTTTCCAAGCTCAGAAACGGCGCCTCCGCCACGCCCAAACAGCAGGGCCCTGAAGGACGGAAAGCATCAAAATTGCACCAAAACTGCCTAATGTAAATTCTGAAAACCCATATAAGAATGATGATTTTAAGCTACTTTTTCCTCCTGCTGCTGCTGTATCTAAAATTTCCCTCCTGCTTGCTGCTGCTGCTCCTGCTCTTGCTACTCCTTCTGTCAAAAGACATCTCCCCGATGGGAAAACACCATGGCAGTGAGGACGGAAAAGCACAAACTTGCGACAAAAACTCCTAATGTAACTTCTGAACCAGGCCCCACTGTCCGAACTTATGAAACGGCGCCTCCGCCACGCTCAAACAGCAGGGCCCTGAAGGACGGAAAAGCATCAAAATTGCGACCAAAAAGTGCCGAATGTAACTTCTGAAACCCATAGAAAAGGATGATTTTAGCTACTTTTCTTTTTTTTTCCTCACTGCTGCTGCTGTCAGCTAAAATTTCCTCCTGCTGGCTGCTGCTGCTCTCCTGCTTCTTGCTACTCCTTACTGTTCAAAAGGACAGCTCCCTGATGGGAAAAACACATGGCAGTGAAGTAAACGGAAACGCAATCAAAAATTGCGACACAAAAACTCCTTAATGGCGTCTTTCTGAACCTACAAGAAAAGTAGCCATCTTCTAGCTTTCCAAGCTCAGAAACGGCGCCTCCGCCACGCCCAAACAGCAGGGCCCTGAAGGACGGAAAAGCATCAAAATTGCGACCAAAAACTGCCTAATGTAACTTCTGAAACCCATAGAAAAGGATGATTTTAGCTACTTTTTCCTCCTGCTGAATTTCCTCCTGCTGCTGCTGCTGCTGCTCCTGCTCTTGCTACTCCTTCTGTTCAAAAGGCAGCTCGCGGATGGGAAAACACCATGGCAGTGAAGGACGGAAAAGCATCAAAATTGCGACCAAAAACTCCCTAATGTAACTTCTGAAACCCATAGAAAAGGATTATTTTAGCTACTTTTTCCTCCTAAACAAAATTGCAACCAAAAACTCCCTAATGTAACTTCTGAAACCCATAGAAAAGATGATTTTAGCTACTTTTTCCTCCTGCTGCTACTGCTGCTCCTGCTCTTGCTACTCCTTCTGTTCAAAAGACAGCCCCCGGATGGGAAAAATGTGTTTCCAAGCTCAGAAACGGCGCCTCCGCCACGCCCAACCAGCAGGGCCCTAAAGGGCGGACTGGGCCTGCCGGCAACGGCCCCAACGGCCTAACGTTGCTTTCTGAACCTACAAGAAAAGTGGCCGTCTTCGAGCTTTCCAAGCTCAGAAACGGCGCCTCCGCCACGCCCAAACAGCAGGGCCCTGAAGGACGGACCGGGCCTGCCGACAACGGCCCCAACTGCCTAACGTTGCTTTCTGAAATTACACGAAAAGTAAGCCAATTCTTCTAGACTTTCCAAGCTCAGAAACGGCGCCTCCGCCACGCCAAACAGCAGGGCCCTGAAGGACGGAAAAGCATCAAAATTGCGACCAAAAACTCCCTAATGTAACTTCTGAAACCCATAGAAAAGGATGATTTTAGCTACTTTTTCCTCCTGCTGCTGCTGTAGCTAAAATTTCCTCCTGCTGCTGCTGCTGCTCCTGCTCTTGCTACTCCTTCTGTTCAAAAGACAGCTCCCGGATGGGAAAACACCATGGCAGTGAAGGACGGAAAAGCATCAAAATTGTGACCAAAAACTCCCTAATGTAACTTCTGAAACGGCCCCAACTGCCTAACGTTAGAAACGGCGCCTCCGCCACGCCCAAACAGCAGGGCCCTGAAGGACAGAAAAGCATCAAAATTGCGACCAAAAACTGCCTAATGTAACTCTGAAACCCATAGAAAAGGATGATTTTAGCTACTTTTTCCTCCTGCTGCTGCTGTAGCTAAAATTTCCTCCTGCTGCTGCTGCTGCTCCTGCTCTTGCTACTCCTTCTGTTCAAAAGACAGCTCCCGGATGGGAAAACACCATGGCAGTGAAGGACGGAAAAGCATCAAAATTGCGACCAAAAACTACCTAATGTAACTTCTGAAACCCATAGAAAAGGATTATTTTAGCTACTTTTTCCTCCTAAACACCATGGCAGTGAAGGACTGAAAAGTATCAAAATTGCGCCCAAAATGCTCCTGCTCTTGCTACTCCTTCTGTTCAAAAGGCAGCTCCCGGATGGGAAAACACCATGGCAGTGAAGGACGGAAAAGCATCAACATTGCGCCCAAAAACTTCCTTAAATAACTTCTGAAACCCATGTAACTTCTGAAACCCATAGAACAAGATGATTAGCTTTGATTTTGGCTACTTTTTTCTCCTGCTGCTGCTGCTGCTGCTCTTGCTACTCCTTCTGTTCAAAAGACAGCCCCCGGATGGGAAAACACCATGGCAGTGAAGGACGGAAAAGCATCAACATTGCGCCCAAAAACTTCCTTAAATAACTTCTGAAACCCATGTAACTTCTGAAACCCATAGAGCAAGATGATTAGCTTTGATTTTGGCTACTTTTTTCTCCTGCTGCTGCTGCTGCTCTTGCTACTCCTTCTGTTCAAAAGACAGCCCCCGGATGGGAAAACACCATGGCAGTGAAGGACGGACAAGCATCAAAATTGCGACCAAAAACTCCCGAAACAAGAGTCAAAAGTATTATTCCCTGGCGCGCTCCCCCTTGCGTCTGTCGGGGTCGGCGGATATATTATACTTGTTACAATTGTATAGCAATTCTTAGCACACTGGATATGGGTGTCTGGAGGATTTGTCTGAGGTGAACCTGGAAAGCAGCCTGCCCAAGAATCCGGATGCCTTAGTGGCGGCAGAGGCCCTGGGCCCGCTGATTCTTCCCGAATGGTTGAAGATTGATCACCATCCAAAGGTGAACGAACATAATAGAACATAGATCTAAATTTGCAAAACTCCTTTTTTTTTTTCCCATTGGTGGTTTTCCTTAAAACGATTAAGATTTTCGGGGGCTATTCCATCTTCAGGATAACCCACTATGACACCAACCGTGCAACCCTGCAGGCGGTTTGTCGTCGCTTGAGGGCTGCTTGCCGCAACTGTGGCCGTATCTTCGAGCCTGGAAACTCAGTGGAACCCAAATCCACTGGTGGAGGAAACTTTGAGAATCCTGCTTACAGTCCGGTGGATGGAAGAAATCCTGCGCCAGTTGATAGGTGGTTTATCCCACTTTATACGGTTTCAACCATCCAAGATGGTGCAGGATTTCTTCAGTTCATAATTAACACGCAATTCATACGAGAGCATAATTAACATCCAACGATTCATCCGGTGGATAAGCATCGTATTCCCCATTTTTTAAGGATGACATGCAAATTTTGGAGTATCCCCCATGATTGCGTATTTCCGATGCCATGGGGATAGCCCCATGGTTGGATGGTTTAAAATGGATGATTTGAGGGTACCCCCAGTTTAGGACACCTCCATATAGTCACCTTAAGCCAAACTTGCCATGGTCGATCCGCGGAAGGCAGCAGATGCAACTGGCTGGATCCTCAAGTGGATTGATTCAAGGTCCGGGTTTCATGGTAAAACAAAACCATGGACAATTAATTAATGCATATTAATGCATTCTGGTAGTTAACAATGTTAACAGTGGTAAATTCCTTGAATTCTACTATTCCATCTATTGAACATATGGTGGCTTCAAGATCAAACGTATGGTTGCAAGTTACTGTTCTGGATGATTTATGGGAGATTTCTCCAGGCCAAAAAGGCCAATGGCGAGGCACAAGCGCTGGATTTCGAGGTGTGAAGTGAGGAACTGGATGGGACAGGGGGACAATATGAGATTGATGTATATATATATATGTATAAATATCTACATCTACATCTACATCTACATCTACATCTATATCTATATCTATATCTATTTATATCTATATCTATATCTATTTATATCTATATCTATACTTATATCTATATCTATTTCTATCTATACATATATAAATATGATATATATATATTATATTGATTATGCTGTAGATCGATGTGGATCACTGGAATACAGTTATGTTTGCCTTTATCTGTCCTGAAATTGAATACCATCCCCAAACGGTAGCTTTTTAAGGCGGTTTCCCACATACACCATGAAAATCTCTACACCAGAGGGTACATCATGAAAAATATACCATTAACCCTGTATCAACCAAAGGAATCCCAACCATTTCTGGGTCCACAAACTGGGATAGCCCATTTTTTGCGGTGCCGTTAAAGGTGATTGAGAGCAAGAGCCGAGCTGAGATGGGCCTGCGGCTCAGCAATTTTTTTCCCCTCACAAGATGGGAAACCTAGGGGATTTACAACAATACTATTGTAATATATATATATATATTATATATATATAGGTAGATAGATTGGATCTGATTAGATTTTAGACCAGATTAGATTGGATTAAATTATATAGATAGATGCACCATATACACAGCTGCTACTTGCGACACCGAGGTCCGGAAGTCCTCCCAGATCTGGGGGCAGCCCATGCACTGCAGGCCCCTCCGACATGGCGAGAAGGTGATCTGTTTGTAGATGAACTAACCTTCAATAACTATGGTTTATTATACTTATAAAGGTTACCTTCTACCTGAATATTGTTATACTATACTTATACTTATAAACAATAACTATAGTTTGGTTTATAACCCATAATATTGTTTATAACTATAGTATTCATGGGTTTATAAACCAACTTATAACTGGGGGGCCTCACATTGTACAGTCTTTACAGGCTATGAAACCATCTACAGTCTCTGACCTCTTGGCTATGAAACTCTCTATTTACCATGTCATAACCTGTAAGGCGCAAAAGCAAAGTACAGAAACCGAGAGGCCCTGGCTGCTGTTATCACTGTGCTGTTTCGATTGGTTTTGATGATTTTTTCTTGTTCCTGTCGGCGAAAGGCGATTTCAAAGGCTCACGACCAAATTGTTGCGAGGTGAAAGCACATTGATTGCCAACATTTCGAACTTCTTTAGCCTATCCACCCTTGGCATTTGAACTGTTTTTTTTTGTCTTTCCCCACCACGACAGCCTAGATACATGACAGGTTTATCTGGAAATAGGCTGTGCCCCTAAATCTAGTTACAACAAGTTTAAGACAGAAAATGACGATTATCATCATAACCCACTGGGTTTTAGGCTACTGTAGACTCGGACAGTCAGATTTCACCAATGATACCACTGAACCAGGCTGCAGGCGGATCTACGAGCGTGTGAGCAGAAACTTGAAGCACTTGAAGCAGAAAGGCCGCACCTGTTGGAGTCGCTGACACGGATGGAGTCGCTGGGTTTTCCCCATAGGGTACCCCAAGAGCCAGTGATTTAAAGCCTCATTTTCTTCTCAAAATGACAAGTGAGCAACTGTCTCCCCAGAGCAGGAAGCTACACGAAGACTCGGCTGCGCAGCTTTTGTACCAGCAGGCTGGGAAAGTAGATGGAAAAGGGAAATCCCAAAAATATTGATGAGCAAAACAAGAATACATGGTGTCTGACGGTGTCTGACTTCATTGGGTGAATAGAATTGAAACCCTGTTGTGGTTGTTGCTACCCCGTTGTGGTTGTTGCTTGTGAGATCTCCTTTTGCTGGCAGTTGGAACATTTGCGATTATTATGCCAGTCATCATTGCATCAAAGTTGAGACACAAGTTGTGAGACAACCCGTCCATAAGTTTGTAATGTGAATATTGAACACCCAAACAATAGGAGAGAATCCACATGGTGACCGTGTCAAAATTTCAGCATTGTGCAGTTTTTTGGGACAGGAAGAGATAGCACTGCTGCGTAAACAGCTGGAAGAGGAACGCAAGAGCCCGGGCCTCAAGTCGGATCAGGCTGATGGGTTGCCGATTTTCTGCTTCCTTTGAGGTCTTGAAGAGGCACTAAGGGTGGGACTATGATGGGACTTGTGGATCAACAGGTCGGTGTTGGAAAGTGGGATCCTTCACCCTTCAACTGGGACATCGCTTCGTAGTTCTTGGTGCAGCCAGAGGGGCAGCCTTTGGCGCACACTACGGTGGTGTTGCTGAAAGTGGCTTAAAAGCATGGCATCATGGCATCCAAGTTTTGAGGGCGCAAAAGTCCCAAGGATAGGTGCAACTGTTGTTTGGACCATTTGTAGTGTTTCTTTTGAGGGTTTTTTAGCATCTCTTCTTCAAGTTAAAGTGCGCAGACAGACATGACTTGATGGCCGACTACAGGCCCGAAACGAGGAAGCTCGGCTCCTTTCCAAACAAGCAGAGCAAGAGAGAAGACACCAGGAAGAATCAGCCAAACGCCAACAGGAAGACATATTGCGGCAAGAGCAGGAAAAGGAAGCGAGAAGGCAGCAGGAAGAGGCAGCAAAGCGCCAGCAGGAGGAATTGCGGCAGGAGCAGGAGGATGAAGAGAGAAGACAGCAGGAAGAGGCAGCAAAGCGTCAGCAGGAGGAATTGCTGCGACAGGAGCAGGAGGACAAAGAGAGAAGGCAGCAGGAAGAGGCAGCAAAGCGTCAGCAGGAGGAACTGCTGCGACAGGAGCAGGAGGAGGAGGAGGAGGAGAGAAGGCAGCAGGCAGAAGCAGCACAGCGCCAGCAGGAGGAATTGCTGCGGCAAGAGCAGGAGGATGAAGAGAGACGGCAGCAGGAAGAGGCAGCAAAGCGTCAGCAGGAGGAATTGCTGCAGCAGGAGCAGGAGGAGGAAGAGAGAAGGCAGCAGGAAGAGAGAAGGCAGCAGGAAGAGGCAGCAAAGCGCCAGGAGGAATTGCTGCGGCAGGAGCAGGAGGATGAAGAGAGAAGGCAGCAGGAAGAGGCAGCAAAGCGCCAGCAGGAGGAATTGCTGCGGCAGGAGCAGGAGGAGGAAGAGAGAAGGCAGCAGGAAGAGGCAGCAAAGCGCCAGGAGGAATTGCTGCGGCAGGAACAGGAGGAGGAAGAGAGAAGGCAACAGGAAGAGGCAGCAAAGCGCCAGCAGGAGGAATTGCTGCGGCAGGAGCAGGATAAAGAGAGAAGGCAGCAGGAAGAGGCAGCAAAGCGTCAGCAGGAGGAACTGCTGCGACAGGAACAGGAGGAGGAAGAGAGAAGGCAACAGGAAGAGGCAGCAAAGCGCCAGCAGGAGGAATTGCTGCGGCAGGAGCAGGAGGAGGAAGAGAGAAGGCAGCAGGAAGAGGCAGCAAAGCGCCAGGAGGAATTGCTGCGGCAGGAACAGGAGGAGGAAGAGAGAAGGCAACAGGAAGAGGCAGCAAAGCGCCAGCAGGAGGAATTGCTGCGGCAGGAGCAGGAGGAGGAAGAGAGGAGGCAGCAGGAAGAGGCAGCAAAGCGCCAGCAGGAGGAGCTGCTGCGACAGGAGCAGGAGGAGGAAGAGAGAAGGCAACAGGAAGAGGAAGCGAAGAAAGAAGAAGCGCTTAGACAGAAGCGGGCAGAAGAAGAGCAAAAAGAGAAGGAGGAGCAGGAGCGGAAGAAGAACGCGGACAAGGACAGATTTTATCTCAATGTTTGCAACGACGTCGTTCGCTGGTGGATGCTTTCACCCCTAATTGGGGTTTGAGATGCCCTTCATGTCATCATAGTCTGTGAAGGCTCGACCATCCCTCCTGTTGAATAACCAGCTGGATCGAGGACAAACAGAAGTCAGAGACGCAGAAGGCGCTGGTTGAGCCAGTGATGTCCATGACTGAAGGATACTTTTGAGCCGAAGAAAAATAGGCAACCTCGATCTTTCGGGCTTCAATCATTCCAGAAGGAGGCACAGATTTCCATAAAGCCATAAATTAACTCATGTTTCCAAGAGAAGCTTCTCCACAGGTCTTTATAATATTTATAATCTTTGGCAAGCTATCCCGATTGAAACTACTGGTTGATGAACACAGTCCCTGTTGCAGAAGGAAACCACAACGTTGTGGGGTGCCCTATAGTGATACCGGGTAGCAATCGAAATACCTACAACTGGTTCTTTCAAAGAGAGGGTCAGTTTTTTCCACAAGACTGGTGGCTTGTTTGTAATATGATCTCACTGGTCAACACCCCGGGCATGTCCCATCTCGCAGGGCCTGTTCGATGATGACGCTCCAAAAACGGCGAACCGGCCCAAGCGAACGTCGCTGTTCGGGGATGATGACGATGACGAGGCGAGCTGCGAAATGACACAAACTGAACGAGCCATTAAGAATACCTTGGTTGATGGGTTAACATAGGGACTTGTACTACCTAATTTATAGGGGAGTATGAGAAGCCATAGTAAGGAAACCTATCAACGATCAGCCGAACTAATATAATGAGATGGGGGTATTTTCAATGGTATGGGTGGGCTTCCAACATCTTCCAACCCAAAATGATGCAACTGGGACTTGGGAACTCACTAGGTCTTGGAATCCTTGGGATTTTTATACCAAAAACAAACCCACCATGGATTGATTTGAACGGCGAAAGTCAGGGGTTGATCATCAGTTTCCCCATATTGTTGGCCATATCCCGTTGAATCCGTCATAGTCCCATGAGCAATGGTTTACTCTGTTTTACTCCAATAATCTACCATATATTTGCATCAAACTCCCAAAATCTACCCGCTTCTGGATTATCGACATCCTCGGAGGTGTTTATGGCAAAGCCAAAGAAGACACCGTCACCCAAAGCCAGGCGCGGCGAACGCGGGATGCAACCCTTGTGAAATGAGGGATCTTCAATCATCCTGTTGGGCTTAGGTCTCAGTTTTAGGAGCTTGATTTGAGAGATTTATGATGAGATTTGAGGATGTGTCTAAACTGTGTGACTGCTGGTTGTGTGGATGATCTGCGACCCGGGGCCTTTTCAAAATAGGCAGCAACCGTTGCTTGCGAGTCCTTACCTTGACCGCAGCTGTTTCATCAGTCAAGCGGACACCAAGCGGACACCAAGCGGACACCAAGCGGACACCAAGAAGCATGATTTCATGAACTGATGCATGAGTTGACTTACAAACACAGAGCACGATTTAGACTTCTTGGGGTCAACATTCATTTCCAGCTGCATGGACAAAGCTTCCTCTACCGTCCTATGGCGGGCACAGCATGCTGAAGGCTGAACACGTCAACGGTTGGCTTTTGGCGCCACTGGGATGCAATGGCTGTGGCAATTGGAGAGTTAACCATCAAAAATGGTTGGTATGGGGATATCATGAGGATGATTGTATGTCAGTAATTTGCCCAGATCATTGCCCCAAGTCTTCTAGTTTTTCTTCTGAGTCGGGCCCAGCTCCTGGAGAGGTAGAAAACAGCAAAATGCCGTGAGGCTGCCATAAAAAGCTATAAATCCTTTCGTCTTCCCGTTGTTTTTTGGTGAAATGGTGAAATCGGTGAAATCCGGTTCCGAGGATCCTGTCTGTGAGTATCCTCGTGGTTTGTGCCAGCGCTTGCTGCACTCGACATGTCGCCAAGTATTTTGTGGATCCCCGGAGAGGCCGATCTGCTGTCGCTGGGAGAGCCGCCAGGGGGGGTTGAACGACGTTGAATGGAGCCGGCAGGTCTTCACAAGTACGTCCTGCTGACGTTGATTTGCCTCTTCATTCCGGGGCCGTACTTCCACGATGCTTGGTGCTTCACTGGAGTTCAAGTTTTGTTGGCCAGGGTGTCGGATTGGCACTGAAAGGGGGATGGAATTCTTGGAGATTTGCAACAACTGCTAGCAGCCATGAAATTTGAACTCAGAAACGGGATCTTACAGGATTATCAGCCTGATCAGCAAGAGCAACATGTTTACCAGAATTGGTTTAGGGGAGATTTTGACAGAAACCCATAGACAACCTGCGTATTCAGTGGAAACGATTCAACTGTAGAAATTCGCTGATGATCTCCAATTGCCGAACAAAGACTTTTCGGATGGTTTGAACGCACAAATCCGTTTAAAGTTTAAACCAGGATTATATATGGAACTATACATGGTTATACTATGTTATACTACCTCTCCTAAATCACCCAATATTTAAAGGATTATCATTGTCCACTTTAGGAATCCCTGTTCAACCCTAGTGAATGTCAGGATGGGTTGCTCCAGAGCTTCAAGACTCCCATCTGTGAGGGGATGCGACTGTCCAATGCCGACTTTGCTTCTCTCTTTGTGGTGAGCTCCTTTACAGGCCCGTTGAATGGCCATTAGAACTACCCAGCTGGGCCCATGGTTTTATATGGTTTTGCCCATTCTGATGGCCAACTCATGGTCGCATTCTCAACTAATCATGGTGTGGTTCGTTCTATTATGTTCTATTACGTGGCATTCTTATCTATTTTTTTTTTGGTGTTTACCAATCTTTTGATTTGTGTTAGCCTGCCATTTGGTTATGGTTTACAGGCAACCACACTTTTTTGGTTTGTGATTATCAACCCACTATGGTGCGGTTGTACCTGAAAATGTGCATCCTCAAACCCAATGATATCCAACTACTATCGCTGTTAAAGTGGTAATTTCTAGTGGTGGTTAATCCACCATTTTCAGATATGCAGATCATATCATCATATCACATGATTGTTGGTTTTATATATTATATATTATATATTATTATTATTATTATTTTTTGTCACAGTATACACTTTTCTATCCCATTCGGAATGCCATTCTTCCCCCCCCCAAAAAAACGGTGGATCCTTTGGTGGGTGACGACTCGCCAGGGATTTTGTGCTCCCCGGGCTCCCTAATGATCTCCCGCTTCGGGCGCACCCGAACGGCCATCGCCGCCAGCTTCCTGGCGGCCATTGGAGCCTCGGAGGTTGGAAACGGGCTGGGATGGGCTGGGAATCTGTTGGAAACTTGGGGAGATATGATATTTATCTATATGGGTATGGGTCAATACCTATAGATACCATGTTTAGTGGGATGAACATCCATAAATCCCAGCTATTTTGGGGTTCACTAGGTACCAGGGTTTTGACCCATCCCCATATGATGAATAGATGTGAATAGTATTAATATATTATATATATAGACACATGATCGAAACATGTACACAACCAAACACGTTTGTTATGTGTATCTGAAAATGGGGGGTTGGTCCCCCAATCTGTGGCAGCTTAATAGGGTACCCAGTTCGGGAACATGATGATTGACCGACGGATTTGAGGGAAATTAATTCTCAGACAAACCCATGTAAGGGTAACCAACCACAGTGTACAGTGCTGGTTTGGGTTGGATTTTCCGGGGTTTCCTGGGATAAGTTGGGTTTTAAGCAACCAACATAGGATGCAGAGTCAGGCTTTTGATTCGTAGTCAGTATGGGTTTGTCTGCAACTAGGGCAGCTAATCCAATGGTCAAGAAACGCATTTTTACCATTGAACCACCACTACATGGAAGTCTTCACCACTGCAAGATTTTATTGAGAAATGAGGTGGTTACAACGCGTTCTCAAGTTACTTCGCAATTGCACCCCCAGCCATGGGTAGCTATGGCATCCATTATTTTTGTGCTGACAAAGCCATCATAGCATGGACCTTATGTTCCTGTTGGATCCTGTTGGGTGCATAATGTGCACCTTCTGGATGTATGATGACAGCCTTCTGTTGAGCTGTGATCTTGGGATGTCACTGATATCACTGATATCATCAAGATCTTGCCATCTTAGGATCCAGTGTGACAACGCTGGGATTCGTATGGACAAGTTTAGCCGCGATGTGGCTTGGGCGTTTCCTCTTTTGGCTTGGCCTGAACGTGCTGCTGATGGTGCAGACGATTCTGGTCTACGACCTCTTTAAAGGCGAAACGTCTTGAGATGACGGGAGTTAGATGGTGGATGGTTGGGTTGTAATGGTAGCACATGGTAGCACCTGGTAAACAGATTCGATTTCACCACAGCTATTATCCACTTAGACGGGAATCATCCCAGTAGTGCAGTTTCATGCGATCTGCCAGGAAGAGGTCTGAGCTGTGCGATGACGACCATCGTGTGCTCCATCAGACTGGGAGGCAGCATGTCATATCCACTCTCTGGACCAATGTTGAGCCAGATTGGAATTGTGGCTTCTCTATGGTTCTCAGTGACTCAGAAAAATTAACAAAGAAGTAATAGATCCAGTGCTGTTTGTTGGCAACACAATTGTGAACATGCCATCTTGAAGATTTGGATGCACCATGATATGGATTGACCAACAGTTTCAGACAAGGTCGCCTTGGTGGTGGGAGCATTTCTCTCCACTTTGCTTTTCGGCTACCTTTTTCGATGGACTGCTACAGCGCGCGCTGTTCGTCCCATGCTGGAACGCAGAACACCACGGTCAAGCATTGAATTTTCGCTGATCAAACACCTTCCGAAAACTGTCCTAATCTCAGTGTCTGAAACAGAGAGGAGATGCACTGCATTCTGTAGTGATAGAAATGATCCACGAAGGCAATGCTCTGTGGTTGCCACTCATCACTTCCAAGGTCATTATCTTCTTATCAGGTATTGCCGCAATTTGGGGTGTGGTCTTCCCATTTGAAGTGGTCGGTGACGACATGTTGCAACGGGAATTCGGCTACTCTGCTGACAATGCTGGCTTCATCATTGCAGCCGCACCCATGGTGTCCATCTTCAGCCCAGCCTTGGTTCCTTTCCTGGGCTCCACATTGCACCAGAAACTGGTGGCCTTTCGCACTTCGGTCGCAGATTGTGGCAGCTACAACCTGGGGTTCAAGGAAGTTGATTTGTAGCATGATTCTTGATCATATGCGGCGCTACATCATGATATTTCAGGATATTATTATGTATATATACGTATATATATATATATTATATGATTATATATATATATATTATTAATTATAGATATTATTATACATATTATTATAATATATATATATATAATACTTATTATTGTTACTATATCTATGTATTATTATTATTATTATATATACAATTACGCGCAACGCCTGGGCTTTGCCCAGGCGTTGCAGCGTAGAGGTTTCCCATTCCCAAAGAAATGTTGATGCAATTTCACAAAATTCCTATGGGAAAAACAACAAAGGTACTAGGGAATATTACACTCCCACCCCCGCTAATCCTTAAATTCCTATGAGAAAAACAACAAAGGTACTAGGGAATATTACGCTCCCACCCCCCATTAAACCTTAAAATCCTATGGGAAAAACAACACAGGTACTAGGGAATATTAAACTCCCACCCCCGTTAAACTTTACATTCAATTGGGAAGATCAACAAAGGTACTAGGGAATATTAAACTCCCACCCCCGTTAAACCTTAAATTCCTATGGAAAAAACGACAAAAGTACTAGGGAATATTAAACTCCCACCCCTGTTAAACTTTACATTCAATTGGGAAGATCAACAAAGGTACTAGGGAATATTAAACTCCCACCACCGTTAAACTTTGCATTCATTGAAGATCTTCAATACGGGTTTAATTCTCCCACCCCCGGTCAACTTCTACATTCATTGAAGATCTTCAAGAAGGGTTTAATTCTCCCACCCCCGTTATACTTCTACATTCATTGAAGATCTTCAATAAGGGTTTAATTCTCCCACCCCCGTTAAACTTCTACATTCATTGAAGATCTTCAATAAGGGTTTAATTCTGATGATGATGATGATGATGATGCGTCGCCTGTCGTCATTGCGGGTCCGGGCAAAGCCCAGGCATTTGCCGTATAATTATATATAATTATATATATACTATTATATATTATTTGTATATATACATATTTATTATATATACATATTTATTATATATTTATATTTGTTATATATACATATTTATTATATATATACATATTTATTATATATACATATTTATTATATATACATATTTTATATACACATATTTATTATATATACATATTTATTATATATACATATTTATTATATATATTGTTACATATTATTATATATTATATATATTATATATTATTATTATTATTATTATATATATATATGTTATTATATATATATTTATTATTATATATATATTATAACATATTATTATATATATGTTATTATATATATTTATTATTATTATATATATATTATTACATATTATTATATATATTAGTATATATATAAAATAATATATATATATAAATATATATATTATTATATATGGTATTATATATATATTATTATATATATTATTATATATATTATTATATATATTATAATATATATGATTATATATATTATTTTATATGTTATTATACATATTATTATATATATTATTATATATATTATTATATATATTATTATATATATTATTATATATATATATTATTATATATATTATTGTATATATTATTATATATATATATTTATATATTATTATACATATATATATTATATATTATTATATATATTATTATATATATATATTATTATATATATTATTATATATATATATTATTATATATATATTATTATATATATTATTATATATATATTATTATATATATTATTATATTTATTATTATATATATTATTATATATATATTATTATATATATATTATATTATATATATATATTATTATTATATATATATATATATATTTATATTTATATATATATATTATTATATATATTATTATATATATAATAATATATATTGTTATATATATATGATATATATATATTTATATGGATTAATATATATATATATTAATACATAATATTATATTTATATATGTATATATTATTTTTATATAATAATAACAATAATATTTTTTTTACAATTCATTAGTATTTATTATTTATTATCATTATTTATCATTATTATTATTATGATTATAATTATTAGTATATACACATACAAACACCATCACCCAGGGTTGTACGAATATATGTTTTTTTTTTCTGGCTCCATATCAGGATTCTGCAGAACACGGATTCCAGATATATATAACGGCCCCATTCAGCCTGTCATTCAGCAAAAATGGATGGTTTAGGTTGATAGGAAAAAGTCAAGAATTCAATGCGTCACTACAAAAAAATGACGGTTGACTTGGGTTTCCAGACGTTTGCTTTCACACCCATCTCCGCAGAAGCTTGGAACATGTACCTTTTGAGCTAAGGCTTAGGGCTGGTGACTCTGATGATTGCCTTCCTGGTCATTGGAATTTTTCAGCTTGCCATCTTGGGTGTGGTGCTGGTGGGCTTTGGTTATGCTGCATCTTTGCTATGGGAAAATTGTATTTTTTGTCCGAAAAGAAGGTACCCCTAAGCCTAAATTAATCCATTGATTGATCATCAGATTTCCTTATGATTGCAATTCTAGGGGTATACAGGTCTACCCCGTTTTCATACACACGCAAATCACAAGTGTCATGGGGAACCACCCAAGAAAAATGGATCTGAAGTTGTGGTGCTCCATTGGGTGCAATTCCAGTTGATTCGTATAGCCGCTGAATAGTGGGGTACCAAAAGCCCCACAAATTTGATCATGTTTGGTACCTAATTCACCAATTTTTTGGTGTGTCAACAATTTTGAGCTGAGCCATCCAAGATTCTCCCTAGATGTCATTATTCCACCCTGTAAGGTATCGGTGAGCGCATCCTACAGCTGTTTGCCAATGGTGATTGCTGCATCTGCACCTGAAGATGAGCATCAAACTCATAAGAAAATGGAGAAATTAGCTGTGAGAATGAACATGGCTGGTTCGGGCTTCAGCATGATCGTCTCGAACCTTACCATCGGCGTGATTAAGGACACCATGGACAATGTACAGTACTCGCAGTTCATCATTGAGTAAACCTTGGATGGGCACTTTGCATGCTAAAATGGTGAAACACATGGTTATGGGGATCCACCATTTTGAGAACCCCCCATATACTAACCAGCTAAACTCATTACTTCCTTCGAGTGATCCTCACCAACTGATTCTATTTCTGACATATATATATATATATGTATTTGTTCTGGCCTTTTATCTGGCCTAGGTTACATCCTATCTGACATTTTTCTGGCATTCTATCTGCCATAGCTCGCCATTCTGTTCGGGTCGCCCCCATGGAGCCGGGGCGCCTGGGCGCTCTGCGAGGACCATGCATCGTACAGATGGGCGTGCTTTTTCTTAGCCGGCATGGCCACATGTGGCGTTGTGAGTGCAGCTTGGTGCTAGTGCCCACTGGAAGTTCCCTAAACTCTGGGGAAATTCCCTACTGTTTTGGGAAGGTTCCCTAAATATTTTGGGGAAAATTCATCAATTGAACCTTGTTGGGCATGTTTTCTAAAACCTTTTTCTGGGGAAGTTCCCTACAATAGTGCTCGGGAAAACGACATGTTCCTGAACGTTCCCCCAATGCTTTCGAGGAAAGTTCTCAACATATCCCCGGAGAAGTTCAAAAAAAAATAGACAGGAGAGGTTGTCGAGACTTCATCTAGAAACATTGGGATGGATGCAGGGTTGTCCCAACTGAAACCGACCGTTTGGTCGTTTGGTATCTTGTGTCGTTAGGTTGATTGACCGAATCATGCAAGATTTCCTATGTTTTTAAATGTCTTTTCTGTGTCCAACTGTGGGTTGTCTCGTAAAGGGGGGTATCCATCATATTGAGACACAGCCGAATATAGCCAAATTGTTTGGTGGTTGTATCCCTATGATATCCCCACGATGCTTAGTTTTATCCCCCATTTTGTTGGGGTATACGTTCCATGTTTGGGCAAACTCAGGTAAGCTGGGTGCGGTGTTTCTGTCCTGAGCCAGTGTGGCTCCCCTCGGAACCATCCAGAGAGATGGAGGACTGATACCTGGGACAGGAGGCAAAGATGTAGAATGTAGAACGATGAGGCTCATCATAGTGATTTAATATGTATACTGTATATTATATATATTATATTATATATATTATATTATATGATATATTATATATGATATATTATATATGATATATTATATATCATATACTATATATCATATATTATTTATTATATATTGTATATTATATTATATTATATATATTGTATATGATATATGATATATTATATATATCATATACTATATATCATATATTATTTATTATATATTGTATATTATATTATATTATATATATTGTATATGATATATGATATATTATATATAATATATTATATACTATATATTGTATATTATATATTATATTTTATATTTTATATATTATATATTATATATTATATGTTATCTATTATCTATTATATGTTATATGTTATATGTTATATGTTATATGTTATATGTTATATATTATATATTATATATTATATATTATATATTATATATTATATATTATATATTATATATTATATGTTATCTATTATCTATTATATGGTTTATGTTATATGTTATATGTTATATATTATATATTATATACTATATATTATGTATTATATATATTATATATTACATATTATATAACATGAGGGCAACTGGTCAAGGACCATGACATCTAAGCCAGTTCTGAGTGGGATAAGCATGTTCTGATCATCCAGGATACATGGTGCCAGGAGACTCCCACCCCAGGCGAGACTGAGCAGCCTCCCAATTTGCATCGCCCATGTTCCGCTGGCGCCTTGGAGATTGAGGATGAATACTACCAGCGCTGAACTCAGGGACCTCAGGGAACCGTGGACTGCCGGTTGAATCTCCTTGGGCACCTTCCCCTCTGTACTGAGATGTGTCAGGGATACTTTGCAGGAATCGAATCTGGCAACCGAAAAACCGAAAATCTCACATAGGAAACTTATGGAGTAGAGGGTTGTCCCATTTCATCCTCGCCAGCCAATGGCTGGACAGCTTTTCATCGCTCCGAGGGCATCTGCTTGAGCTGCGGAATTCGGACAGTTTCTGGAACAGCTGGAAGTTCGATGGCCAGGTAGGTATGGGTCAAACTTGGGAAGTCTCTAGAATAAACAGTATCTGTGGCCAATAGGCCAATACCAACTCTTTTGTGGTTGCCTGGGTCTCAAATTTGACCCATACCCGGCTTTCAATGTTCGGTGGCAGACATCATCCCCCCTTCATACTGTAGTTTGTTTCAGCTGGCATGCGCTATATCGGGAATTGAGGGGCTGCTTTATTGTCAGACAAACAGCGAACCAGTTGGATGGTGCCGTCCGAAATTTTAAGATGGCGTGTCCAATCTGACTGCACCATACTGCACCATTTCTGGGAACAATGGGACCCGGTGCTGGTAGAATCTGTACAAATTCACCTCGGCACAACGTGCTGTGTGACAATCCTTAGGAAAAAAGCAGTGGTGAAACCTCCAAATCCACCAGTTCATCATTGGTTTCAGTTGGAGTTGTTTGATTCAAGTTGTGTGATTTGCAAGCTGTGATGCACCTTCAACAAAGCTATGAACATCAATCAGTCCTCCAGCTCTCAATGGGTTCCATGCCTACCTCGGTGTCCATCCAGCCATGCAGCGGTGGAAAGTGTTTGGTGGCCGAGCTGGACTTTGAGATGGGCGAGGCCATGCTAGCAGAAGTTTCGATGTCCAGTACGGCTAACTACCCAAGAAAAGGGGAGATCGCCAACCGAATTGGGGGATAGGCAACCAAAAGGCTATGGCAATCTTAATGGAGAACGAGTAGAGCCACATTTGGGTAATATGTGTGCGTGCAGACATCGAAGTTTTGCTGCTTTTCTTGAAAGCAATCGTAGAAGTTGACTGTAAGGAAGAAACTTGGGATAGAATGCCAAAACTTGGAAGTTGACTGTTGCTTATTTTCATTACTTTGAACATTTTTCATCATTTTTCGGCTCTCCATCACCGATGGCCTCAGGTGGTTCTGGAGGAGACTCCACTGCTTGAGATGTCCTGGACCCAGCTGTGCAGATCTGTGCAGCACGTGCTTGGCCATCAAGTCATGCCCCAAATATATTGAATAGCCTTGAATAGCCCTAATTAATGGATTCCGAAATGAATAGATCCAATATGATCCAATACTCAACCAGGTCAGGGACGTTATTGGTGGGTTGACCCTGGCCACTTGAGGCCTGATGACAGCGTGCTCAGTTTCAGTGCAACTTCACACTATGAAGCGGCCTGGCTTTATTCTCAGCACTGCCTCAGCAAGGTCGGCCCGTTTGGCAGCCAACATGGCAAGCGATGACTTTCAAAAACCCGGGATGTAGGAAACACCAAAAGGATGCCGGGATGGCCAACTGCAATGGGCCATTGGGTCTTGATTGCAGCTTAAGTCACTGCAGGACAGCTTTGGCGCGCTTCTATCCCTGGGACTCTCAGAGGGTGCTGCCAGCAGCGGCAAAGTCGAGGAGGTAAAAAAGGCCTTGACAAAGGCCTTTTGGCAAATTATGGATGACAAGGGTGGCCCACTTGGGAATGGACTTTGGAAGCACGTCACGCAATGAAGTGCCACACTGTGGAAATTATAATATACTATATACCATGATTATACCAGTTTTTTTGATAGTCTGGAGCTGTGAGTACATCGCTCAAAGTATATAATTGAAGCGGTAGGTTCAAACGCACAAAGATCCAGAACAGCTCATGTTTCGTCTCGAGCAGAAACTCTTCTTTGTGGAGGCAAACTCATTGTTCTGCTCGCATGGTTGTGTGTTCTCAGGTCTCGCATGCTGAATATGAGATGGCCCTCCGATTTCTTGCCCACAGCTTAGATATTTGCAACCAACAAGAGCCGAAAAAATGTTTACCAGCTTCACTTGATCTTCTGAGATCATATTGATGTCCAATTCGTTCCGATTCAAAGGCAGGGATTCCGAAATGTCAGTTCTCCGATGAAAATATGCACTGCATTCAGAATTGATCTAATGAAGCAGTCAATTTCCAATCTCAGTTTGGTGACAAAGATCTGGAAATTAGATGAGCTTAGAAATCATGACAGCAATGGAGCGCAGGTGTCAACGGGCCCACCACCGCCCTGTTCGAGATCATGTCGCGGGTCAACCATTCCTGCACACCAAATGTGCGTATGATTGGAAATGGACGGCCAGCGCAACTGGTGGCACTTCGGCCAATCAAAAAGCAGGAGAGATTCGCGCAGGGGCGTCAAACTACGACTTGTACATGTAACGGTAGCAGTACCCTCTGGTAAATAAACATAGACCCTGAAAATCACCTATTTTTAATGGAAACTAGTCTTCCAACCCCTATCTGCCAGGGTCTATGTTAATTTACCAGAGGGTAACTTG